TACAAACGTATTTATTAACATTAACAAAAGCCTAACTTTTATAGTAGCTTTTACTGTATATTCATTAGACTGTAGGTTGCGTTGTACCATGAAAGGTTATTTTTATTTGTATCCTAACAACTGGGCAATTCATCAACCAGATAATTTTGACCGTTTCTACCCCTTGTCAGACAATAATTTTGCCACGACGATTTGCCAGAGCCACGATGATCCAAACTTTATGATGCACCAAAGTTCTTACCTATAGCTATGTTGGGAGCATGTGCTGACAAACTTTCAGCTTTTATTTTAACGTAGGTCTGGCATTCACTGGCTCTTGGTCTACAAAGCATGTGGGACATCTGCGTAGATTTTCAGAGTTCGTGTCAGCAATGTCGAACACTAATTGAAATCTATTGTGATACAGACGTAGGCTAGAACGATTCTCTTTTGTTTCATGGTATTAGCATGTTCTTGATAACAATCCGAGGGGTGCCTGCCGGTAAATTTAGTACGTTTCTTGAGCTTAGCATTTGGTACACTGGCACTGACTACGAGAATATCAATCATGGTCATGTATCTGTCTTAATAAATAAACAACACATTATGATATTTCTGTTTTTAGTGTACTTTTTGGAGTCAGTTTAGTTTTGAAGTCGGTCTTTTTAAACGCAGTTCTTTTTATAAATAGGAACAAAACATTGAAGAAAATAGGCGAGTTCAAATTAATAAGCAGAAGAAGTGATGGCGGGCCCTACAATACATAGCCATAATAAGTAAATAACTGATTCATATTCAGATCTTGTGTAAAAATCCAAAACTAGGTGGAAAAGTTGTAATTAAAAGTGTGTTCTTTGGGAGGTTATTAAAAACTCATTGGAATTCTTATTTGGTATTTCACTGAAGGTGAACCTATTCTTTATTCTTTAGTTTTTTTCTTAGCATTTACTCAGCCCTTCACAAAATAAACTCTCATCACAAAACACTTTGGCATAAATAGAATCCTTTAGACTCCGAAATATTTTTGTTATTTGTGAAAGATTTCTTAGATTGAACTAAGTATTTCTTTTAAAGGTCACCAACTACAGACCTATTGAGACGCAAACAGATATTTCCAACATAAATATACAGTTTTTCTGCTTTTTGTTACCGTGTCTTCGTTTATTTATTCCAAGACTACGAAAGTAAAATAAATTCTTGTTAATTACGGCAAAAGTTATTTGAAACTCGTGCTGAGGTACAATTCATTAATTAAGAGGAGAGCTGGCCATGTTCTCTTCAAATCGTAATTATATTAAGATGAACCAAAAACGAAATTATGAATAGTGTACAAAAGTCTTTTGTTCTAACAATTATTTTGTTCGAGTATTTATTAAGGTAAGAAATAATAAAATACTCAGATAAATACAAAATATATAAATAAATATAAATATCCTTGGACATTTTACACTGCGCCTCTAGTGTGAGTCTGGTCAAACTTAGCAAAGCTTGTACTACAAATTGATATACAACTTTAATTAATCAAAAGTTACACCCGGGATGAACACTGGATTAAAATGTCATTTCCATACTAAATGACAATTTAGACCAGAGTTCAACTAGGGTTTAACTTTTATTAATAAGGAGGTATAGAGTTTAAGTAGTTTGTAATTAACTTTATTTTAACATTGTAAGGTTCACCAATATCCGCCCAGTATTTTTTTATTTTCACGCTATCGAGCCGCCTAAACAGCATGAACTAGAATCCTTTTTCTAGAAATTTATTTCTTTAACTGCTTTCACTGGTAATTAAAGTTAGGTTTACTCCAATTCCAAGTAATTAAGATACACCTAACTTTGATCGATAGCGAAATTGCCATCTAAAAGTTTGCTAATTGGTATAAATGTTAGCGGGGTTTAACAAACTTTCCAAAGTATATTGACGCAGACTTATTATTATTATGTGGTTCAGCTGTCTATCTTAGTTGTTCGTTCAAATTATTAGGTGGACCGACAATCTGGTAAAGGTCGCGGGAAGTACCTGGATGCGGGCAACGCAGCATCGGTCGTTATAGAAATCCTCGGGGGAGGCATTTGTCCAACAATGGACGTCATTTGGCTGAAACGATAATATAAATAGTACGTTTGATGCAAATTAATAACGATTTAGCTATTAAACTGCGACGAACATTCTATTCTTGAAACGTTATTGATTGCCCTTAATAGGGTGTATCTGCATGAAATATTTATTAAGCGAATGAGACACAAAGACGATCGCAAACGAACCAAATGCTTCGAAATCTTCGGAAAATAAGATTAATAAAGACTGCCTTCGAATTACGTATTCAATACATTTTTACACAAGCGTTGCCGAAACATGTAGGAATTTCCATGTAATTACTTTATGTTGGAATATCCCCATTCACGATTCCCCAGGGTGATAAAGCATTTTTGTCGAACGAATTTCACGCAGGTAGAGCCGTGAATAATCGCTAGTGTAAGCCTCTTATACAGGCATTTTTGATGTACTGACAGGGTTTGCGGTAAACAAAATTATATTTTGTTAGACCTTGTACACACTGTCAAAATGATTTAGTATTGAGCTGCTTGAGGGTAAAAAAAGTTTTTTTTTACTATGGAATCGTACGGTTTTCACATATAACCATGTAAAATAAGGGTTAACGTGGATAAGTTACATTCAAATAATGTCAAAAATGAACGAATATTGATCGGTAAATGATAAATAAACCATTATACCTTGAGTTTCACTAAAAGTATGATAATTTCAGTGGCACATTACGAAGAAGAAAAAATAAGTTACACAAATTTTTCAATTTCAAACGATAATCTGTAATAATGTAGGTTGATACCCGAATATCAAAAGAATGTGCCGTAATTTCAACGGATATCGCTTTTCATAATAAACGCTGTAATTGCTTCATAGGGAATCCACTAATTAAACTGTATCATCAAAATGGATTGTAATAATAATGTTATTGAAAGTAACACGTAATATAGACAGTATAACAGGTATTTTTCTTTCTGTTATATTAACATTTCAAGAAAACATCGAACCTTTTAAGATTAAACAATGCTTGGTATTGACATTGAGGTAAACATAAAATAATGTAAGGGAATAAAAAGATTGCAGAAACAAAAAATGTCATGTCTTCAAAGCTATGCCAAAACAATCTTGTGCCGGAAGGTAATTAAATTGTCTTTGTGTGTGATGAAAACTCTGATTGAAAACAATAAATGGGAAAACGTCAGGACCAGATGAGACCACAAAACAGTCGCATAATCGAATATAAAACTTTCAGTGTGCTTACCATGAGTTTACGTTATGTGTGCTCGCTAGCGAATACGTTAAAAAAATCTATGAAGATTTTATTTCTTGAAAGTAGCCACTAGGGGTGCTATGTCATACATTTAATGTCATTTTTTTACGCAGTCGCTAGCAAGCACACCTAACGTAAACTCATGGTAAGCACACAGTAGTTCTACCATGAGTTTACCTACCGAGCATTTCAAAAGATAGGTCGATATTTAATTAGGTGTGTGTCATGTCTATAACTGTCAATGTCGAAACGTCATAGTTTACTTAACTACCTATGTAAATACACTATCGACTGTAGTATACGAGTACGAATACAAAATTTCGATGGCAACTCATGGGAGAGGCACAGTTGTAAGTTAGGCGGCTCGTCAAGGTAATCATTGTGACATCTTATGTGGTTATTTTCTATCAAAAATATGTATGTCTAATGTACTTTCGTCTGTAATTGTGTTATTATAGTAACTTGACATATACAATCCACACTTTAAACGTGGTTTGAGCTTAGAAAACAGGTATTTAGTAGCAATTTAAATCTTAAGTGTATTATTTATAAATTTCATTGTAATAATATTTTAAATTATGTAATTTTATCATGTAAATTATCTTTAAAAACGTTTCGAATAGGTACACGTCGTTCTATTAAACAAAAACTTTTCTACAAAAATGTGGAAACCTAATTATACTCGGCGTACAATTCTTTTACCCACAAGTATTCATATTTAATTTATACTACATTTGCGTGTAGAATTTGCATTTGAATTCCAATCCTTTATTCGTGCTATTATTGTAAAAATCCTTCTCTACAATTTATTTCTGCAGTCGGGACCGGTCAGCACATCGTTCATGTTTTTATCCTTGTAAAAATCTATGTGCACAGCCGAATGGTTTCCACTTTCAATCCATTTTGAGCGTTACTGGCGCGTGCCTATCATGCTAAAACGTTTGCCCTGGTTAACACCTGCTGACGGAAAAAGCTCAAAATCCTGCTTTATGGTTGAAAAATAACCTGGCCTATTAAAAAAAATCACTATCACTTTACTAAAGTAAATGTAGTTTAATTATTAAATCTATCGAAACAAGTTATTAAAATTACAAGTGCGTTGGATGGGAAGGTGATAATGGACCTTCCCTTTAATACATTGCTAACACGTTGGCGTATTTTACGTTTCAGTTTCCTCCAAATCCTATTGATAAATAATTCTTTAGAAAAAAACGTTTTATGTGATTTACCTGTCCTTTTAAATCAACTGCCAAGGAAAAGTTCAGCCTGTGTATCACAAATCACAAACAGTAACGACAATTAATTAGAAAGTTATTTTGATCTTCTCGCTTCGGGCAGTTTACGTTTTACCAGAGTAAATACAAATGAGTAGGTAGGTCATCTTCATAGAAACGCACCGAGCGCGGTTTGTATGTGAGTGCGCCAATATACGTATGTGGCGCGCACGCACACACTGACCAAATTCGGCACATCACGACTGGCTCCCCGCTAATCCCCGCTAAATTTTGTCAGTGTGGGCGTGCGCGGCGCATACGTGTTGGCGCGCTAACATACAAACCGCGCCCGTGCGTTTCTATGAAGATGACCTACTCATTTGTATTTACTCTGGTTTCACGTTTGCCAAGTTCACGTCATTCTATTCATGGGACAGTTACTTTAAGCGCTGGCTACCTTTAATTCTCAAAAGAAAATGGTTCTACTTACTGAATGAGTTGGATCGCAGCTGTGACGGCATCGGCGGGGACAGCACCTCGCTGCCGAGGCTGCTCACGCTGATGACGTCACGGAGTTCTCCCAGAGATGACGAGCGGAGGGTCGGCAGGGAAAAGTTCACTTCTTTTGTCCTGTCAACAAATGATTTTGTCAATACTCTTTAAACATTGAAAGGCCTTTAGAACTTAGGCCCTAAGCTCGGGCCTACGCTAAAATTCGCGCGGGCGTACGTGCATATCCATCACATCCACTACATCTTATGTATTGAAAGATCTTATTCCGAAAACCATGTCCACCCACAAGGTGGACCGACGACATCATAAAAGTAGCAAGAAGGCGCTGGACGCAGGCCGCTACTAACCGGGCAGCATGGAAAGCATTGGGGGAGGCCTATGTTCAGCAGTGGACGTCCTGTTGCTGAGATGAAACATCCAGACCAATACAAAAAAAAATATGTTCATGCACACAAATGTTTGTACTATGCGAGAATCGAACCCGTGACCTGTACATAGTAGTGATTTACGAACCACTACACCAAACGGCAGCCAAAACCTCACAGGTGTATAGTTATAGTATACACCTTCTATCTCATTTTGTACCTACAATAGATTTCAAACTACGAGCTACATACATCGGCTCAGTAATATGAGCGTGACAGAATACCTTACGAATATCCATTGATCCACCCTCACAAACTTTCGAATTTGTAACACATGAAAAAATTTAAATACATTGAAGCATTTTCTCCTATATTTTCATGATAAATACTTATTTTTCGGAAGCACTAACCCACATGTTTAATGAAAGGTAAAAGGGAACGTAATATTTAATGTGGTCCAATTATTTCTATTTTTGTATACAAAACCAGGAGGGAATAACCTCAGTGTATGTGGAGTGGGATTCGGAGTATGATAATTATGAATAACTAGCTTATGCCTTCGACTTCGTCTGCGTGTAAATTCGATAAAACATACTTTTCCAGTATTTTGGCGCGAAGGATTAAAAAAATATCATTAAGTACCTACCTACATAATTGAATTCCAGTTTTATAGTTTTAGGTAACTACTGTGAGTTGAACTAGTTCAACTCACCTAAATTATACCTAGGTATAATTTATTTCAAGTCACGTTAAAGGTCGATTTTGGCGTGAAGGATTAACAAACATCATCAATGAACCACGAGTATTGAACAAAAATTTATTGGAATTGAAGTCACGTTATGGTCGCGCAACGAGGGTTGAGATTATTACACAAGCGAAAAATTTGTATCTGTATACTCTCTTGTCGCGCTGACGTTTTGCGTATTTTGACTGATTTGTGTATAGTTCCAAAATACTGGACTGTCCTGTCGATGACATTGACAGTGGGGCGCCACCGTCAATACCGGATCGCTGGTTCAGATTTTTGCCATGTTGGAAACCATATAGTTGAACGATGGTAGCGCCCCCCTGTCATTGAGTTTGGTGGGACAGTTCAGCGTGGGTCATCTATATTATGTATTCAAATATTACATCAGTGTGGGTTTGTGTTCACCTCAACTTTGGTTGCGCGATTAAAGCTCATAGCAGACATATCAATTCGAAACGGGTACAACACCGTTTCGCCTTTTGTGAAGTGTCATCGCCTTTTGCGCGCTGTCAATCGCGAGGCGAGGCGTTTGCGTTACGGTGCGGATAATTGTGCATTCCAGTATGGAGTTTCATACAAAGAATACTGACCGCCTCGAGTTGATACGGTTACAATCCCTTTCTGGGTTGATAAATGTGCTATATCCTTAATACCAAGATCAACTTTTTTAGCACGGCAGCCCGAGCGCCTAATATACAATAAAGTTTTTCTATTAAAAAGTAGCCATCGTCTTTTTCTCTTACGAACAGGTGAATGTCCTGAAAATGTTTCCCGTTATCATTTTTATGTTTTCCCATCTCATTAATTACTCGGAGAGTTTTACCTTTGTATACGAACAAAGCCCGCAAAAATAACGACAAGTCAACAGCCGGAAAATTTTATGAGATACTAACAAGCGTGGAAAGGAACGCCGAAGTTTTCCGACTTGTACGATCGACAAAAAAGATCTTTCTCTAAAAGTTAGAAAAGTTTCGAAAACTAATAATTTGTGAGTGTCTACTAAAAATTCTTGCTTCTGTTACCTTTGGACCTTGGATTCACTCACGTGGATTTCGGCCTATTATCACAAAAACTGTTTATTTCATTCAAAAACAATCGTATATCGGAATAGAACCTATTTTGAAAAGCCAGTTGTTGAAGTGATTTCAATTCACATAGAAGCTATGGGTTATCAATGCATTTTCGTTGCCTATTTCGCCTTTACTATTTACGAGTACTATTCCAACATTCTATCCATTTTTGAGTAAAGTCAACTAGAGTTAAGAGGCACAGAAGCACAGAATACTTTTTTCTTGCCTTCTATAACTCTATTGCTTAGTTAGTACTAATCAAAGTCTAGATAGAACGACAGACTATGCTAAAATTTAGCAAGGTTTGTATGAGGAAGAAGAGGTTAAAATCACACATAGAGTGAAACTTAAATGTTTCTATTCAATTAACGAATATCTAACAACCGATCACCGAAAATGTCTCTAGATAGGTACTTTTTATTGTAATCTGCTTGTTTTGTTAGTCTCTAGCATTGTGCAATGTTACATCTATTGTATTATGTATAATAAAGTCACCTACTCTGTTGCAATACTTCCTAGGTCAGCTCATGTGTATGTAATTTCCACCATTACAAATTGTCAGTACGCAATAAAGATTTGAATTTGCACATAAAACTTTTTCTAAAGTCGGTCAAAAATAACAAATGACAAATGTCAGAAGTAACACGTTCTTAGCCCTTTTGACACAGGCTGCAAAATTACCACAGTTAATATACGAGAAGAAATTAACTAGGCTGTCAGGCGGCCATTAATCATCATCCTTCACGGGAGACGTGCAACAGTATAATATTTTATGGTCCATTTATTTGATTTAATAAAGGTGGGATGTACAGACGACATGACAGGCTGTTGTAAAGACTCTCTTATTATAAGATGTTAGATGCTATGGTGTTTACTTACCTGTCACCTTTGTCAGGACATTTTTTTTTAAATAAAATTAAGCTACGGTTTTTATAGACTTTTTAATAGAAATCGAGCCCATTGGTTCAAAGCAGTTAAATACAAAATTGTGTCATATTTTTTTAGTGCTAATTTCATCTAATTTAATTTAATTTAATGTGTACCTATCAAAAAGTTACATCACTTTTCCATAATTCTGAACACCTGCCAAAATGTTGAACAGTTTCGACATTTAATAATGCATTATTATCTGCCTTATTATATTTAACACAAACACATTTTAACATGCAATTTAGTTTGCTAAGTTTGAAATGGAACAAATTTTGGTAATTATTATAAAGCAATTTACTGTGCTGGTATAACGGTATTGAATATCATTTCACTATTAAGTAATACAATTACAGTAAATTATTTCAACCGCACTGTGCGAAACGCTCTTTTGTTAGCGCTAATAATGTTTGCTTGGAAAACATTGCATCGCTTATTTTAATGACTCTATAATATTGTGTAATTTATTCATAGACTCGTGGTTATTTTAGTTGCAAATGTAGGCTTCATTCTTGGTATTCCGCATTGTTTGTGGAACTTAATAAGAACCATAATTTACCTAAGTCTCCTGTTTACCTGACTGCGCCAGAAGGAGGGTTATGTTTTCAAACAGGGCTGTAGTGAAAATTTTATGATTTAGCTTGTATCTGGGTTTAACTGCCAGAATCAGTAAGTAAAAATCTTGAATTTTTAAGGTACATTATTTATGGCAGACATTTAGTCGATGGGTATTAAGTGTTAAATACCATACAATTAGATCTACCTAGCTAATTAGCCTAATATAATTGTATGGCACTTTACACTAGCGGCCACTAGCTATAAATAGTTTACGTATTTACACCAAATTTACACACTCTGACAAGCATTCAACAAAAGTTTAGTTTAGTTGATACTTGGTGGATATGTAGATATGTCTCAAACTTACGAAGTTCGGCTAATCGACGTTTACATAGGACCAATACGCCTATGTCGGAGCTTAGAAGTTGGATATGTGTAAATACAAATTACCGCAGTATGATATTAGCAAAATGTTTTGATTCTACTATTATCTTATTTGAGTGTTTATGATTTTTTTTAAGTATGTTTATTATTATACCTGCTAATGATAATGATTTTACCTCATTAAAATGGGTCATAAGTTCACTATTGCTGTAATGTTTAGTTTAACTTTTAAGAAGGATTTAGGATTACTGGATTAGTTATCCTAAATCCTACTTAAGAGTTTATTAAGACTACAAAATTGATCTAGCAATTTTGAGCAAAAACGTAACAAACCAGCGGGAAGACTCGTTTCACGCAGTAGTGGGATTAAATTTTCTGTAGCATAATAAACTTAGTATTAATAAAGTTACTAAAACCTGTGACCTTTGCGTTCCATTTGCGTTCCAAAACTTCGCATCCTCTGAGGGCTATATCTTGAACAAAACTCAAGTTTAAAAGATAGAATAAATATTAATTAAATGCAAAGCCGCCCAGGATTAATGAGGACTGGACTTAAAATGGCTCATTATTGCAAAGAAAAAGAAACGTAAAACTCAAGAAAACTCCGGTCAAATAAACCTGCTATTTGCGGAATTAGCGGTATAACTTAACTTCGTTATAACTTCGTGCTTGTTTAACCTTTCGATTTAGAATGAAATTAGTTTGCAAGTTTAATCTTTACTCTACCTAATCAAGAGTCATGGTAAGTGACTTAGCCGAAGACACTCTAAAAATGTAAGTTTATGCCTAATTATTATGCTAATTAATACTAGCTGAATATTCGAAAATAACTTACGCATGGAAGGAAAAGGGAACTTTGAGTCTAGCTATCTAGGTACCGAAATAATGGCATCATGTATGTTCGTACTTTTAGTTTTAATATTGCCACCACCGTCCCCTTAACAACAAGATTGGAACCCTTCGGAGAAAAGTGTCAAATTAAGTGTCACTTGAACCGCCATCAGGCGTCTTACATGAGTCTATTAGTTCAGTCTTACCATACTTACCGTAGGAAATAGTATCTCAGTTTAGGACAGTCGTTAGCCTATAACTTTCTTAGCAAAAACCGTTCCCAGAACGTTTAAATCGATTCTCACTCACGTCACTGGACTACAATGTCCGTATCCGTATGTAAAGAGTATATCCTTATTTTTATTTGATTTTATTTATATTAGGATTTATTTATTTATTCAGGGGGTGGTTTTGTGAAACAACGCCCATCTCAGGGGTGGAACATGAAAGTAATCACAAGAAAAATACAAATAAAATTTTATCTATTACTTTATTGGCAAAAAAACCTTGTTGAAACTTTTTCTCAGACTTTTGTGACGGCGCTTGTGACCGCCCGCACCACCCCCGCGTGCCCCGCTACACCACCGAGCACATGCCGTCGCCACCCCAAGAGAGCGGGGGGACTGACCGATAGCTCGCCCGCGTAATAATACTATTTTCTTGATTTCATGGATTTTTCCGTGATTTTTTTCGAGACCTGAGATGGGCGTTGTTTTACAAAACCACACCCTGTATTATACACCATAATAACAGAGTGAATACAAATAAGTAGGTCAACTTCATAGAAACGCACCGAGCGCGGTTTGTGAGGTATGTGAGCACGCCAATACGTATGCGGCGCGCACGCACACACTGACAAGATTTAGTTTGGATTAGCGGGGTGTTGATCAATGAAGCAGGGGGCAATGAAGATGACCTACTCATTTGTATTTACTCTGATAATAATCTTTAAATACTTACATATAGCAAGGTGCGGCAATATCATGCGGCGGGTAGACAAGTATCGGCGGCGAGGGCACCGGCGAGGGACTGTTCTTGCGCCGGCGCGCCACGAACACGCCCGCCATGACGATCAGGAGCACGAGAGCTGCGCTTGCGCCGCCCAGAGCCACCAACGCCACTTCTAGAAGAAAGGGTGAATGAAAATAACTGAGTCATGATCAAATTCTTACTTCTTTACTTTTGAATTTAATGAAAGCTAGTTTTAAAATAAAGGCTCTTTACATCTTCTTCCAAAAATTTCTACAAGAACCGTTTCAAACGTAGCAATTTTGGAGCTCAGGGTTTTAGAATCGCGTTGACCGCTCGCTGATCGTCGGCGCTGACAGATCACCATTGAAACATGCAGATTCCTCTATAAAACCTCAAAGTTTACGGCCCTCATATGGTTCATGGCAATATCCTAAGTAAAGTTGTCAGTTCACGTACATTGAAAAGAATTTACGATCTATTCGTAAATGGCAAACGGATCTAAAACATCTTTTACCGAGAGCACTAGAAAGAATGATACATTTTTAAGAAATTTTACGTTAAGTATAAAATTGTCTTTGACTTAACATTTAATTCCGCACTTAATTCTTGTGAGCATGATTAAAAGCACTAGGCAATATTTCAAGTACCTACGTACTTACGAGTGCTACAGAGTGTAAGGTAAGAAAAGGTTAGAAGTACCACCTACTTCAAAATGTAATATTTTCTAATTTAATTCAATCGTGCCTTAAAAAGTTTTAAAATTGGTACTTTATATCAAATTAAGGTAAATGGAATTGAACAACATTTTGGAATAGTCTCAAAATATCAGCTTACATTTTACGGGTTTAATTTCTCAATCGTTAGAAAACATTTGTCATCATTTAGAAAATTGCTGGTAGAAAACGATTAGTATCCATCATAAAAGCGACAAGCAACGACTTCAAATTTCACTTCAAAATCTAATTCAAACAACGTAATGTTTACATAATGCTTGTTTTTATCAAACCGCCAAATTGCCTGGATCTACGGAATTAATTCGCAGTTATTTTTGGCGTTTCGTTGCTCAGATTATTAATAAAGGAAAGCTACGCCAATGGAATATACTTGAGGAATATCACGACAGAATCACGTTCGAGGATAATATGACAAGAGAACGCCGGCGTCGAAATATGAAACGACGCTATGAACGTTTTATGGCGCTCATTAAAACGGCTTTACGACTTCATAATTATTATTTTGGTTTCACTAGCAAATTATTACGGAGTTTGAGACTCTAATTGTATGCTAAGTGAAACCAAATAGACATAAAAACAAGTAGACTAACTAAAGTTTTGGAGCGGGAAATATTTTATGAATCATTTAGAACATGAAAATTATATCGATAAAATTCCAAACTCGTATGAGAGACACGTTTCAGTGAACTTCTTTTGAAAACTCTGTTTACTCTTGATTGCCATTACATCCAAAGAGCGACAACAATGTCATAAGGTACTATCGGCAACAGTGTTAACTGTTCATTGCCAGTCATGTCATCTCGTTCTATTGCAAAGAATTACCATTTGATGAGAGCGAGAGCAAAAACGGAAATGGATAGTTAACAGTGTGGCCGTGTTTACATACGACTTTTCAATACCTACTTGGTTTCAATTCCTTTTACTTTTGTACCTTTAACTTTAATATTCTAATATTAGTCGGGAAACTACGTAATGCACTTTACCACGTGAAATTGCATATTATTACACTCTATGCTTGTTTACGGGAATAGACGGCTGTCGTGCCGAGCTTTAGTGAACCTAACAAAATGAAACGTCACCTGCAACTGAAGTGGCAAATCGAAACATGCAAAATACTACGTTAAACGGATACAGTGGCGTTCGTGGGACGAATAAATCAGTCGTTTTTATCAAAACCAAAAAGATCGTAAGAGACTTTACATTATGTAAACAGAAAACTCTTAGGCTGAGTTGCACCATCTTACTTTAGCTTTAACAAACGTCAAAAATCTGTCAAAAACCATACAAAAAGTACCGGTTATTTTTATAGTTACCGATAAATAAAAGTTAGTTGGTGCAACTCAGTCTAGAACTTGAATTTCGGGTCGGTAATACGATGCCACCGTTGACACCGGATGACACCGTTGGGTTTATTTTTTACGGAGAAAATGAAGAAATTCCTCTAGTTTTTCAACCTTATTATCATTGTCAAAAACGTAACAAAAGCAATCATTAAACATTTTAATAAAACTTATAATTTACATTCTAACAGAAGTGACATTGACTAAATAAAATACTATCAAATTTTATGTGTTAGCAAAAATAAAGAATATGAATTTGAAACTCACCTCTCAAATTGACAGCATTGCCGTATGAGAACTCAGTAACGGAGCTGTCAGTGGGGACTTGCTCGAATCTTGGATTAGGAGGCGACGGGTCCAACTGCTCTACTGGCTCAGGCCTCCTCACTGTCACTGGGTCCACGTACTCGTGACCTCTATCATAGTATTCTTCCTCTTGTTCACCGTTGTACTCGGTCTCGTAATCTAGATAAAGAAGAGCTAAATGTTTACACATGTTCGGCGAACAAACGCGATCAACGTTCGGCTCGCAAGTGAACGTTCACGATCTCTGAACGATGACGTAATGCAAACAACAGTTAACTCTCACTATAAAGGAATATCAGTGGGGACCTGTTCGAATCTTGGATTGGGAGGCGATGGGTCTAACTGCTCTACTGCTTCAGGCTTCCCCTCACTCACTGTCACTGGGAGTTTACACATGTTCGGCGAATAAACGCGAGCAAAGTTCGGCTCGCGAGTCAACGTTCACGATCTCTGAAGCTCTATAGTGAGATTTAACCGTTGTTTGCATTACGTCTTCTCCAGTTAGTTACATTTATTACATCTCCATTTAAGTACCAACAAAAGAAACTTAACTCAATGTAAAAGATAAAATATATTATGAGAGTAGAGCTTAAAATTTCAAAACTTTATTCTACTTTACTTTTTTAGTATCCACTGCAATTTCTTTTTACGTTGCCATTACTATGTAAAAATGACAAAGTACACATTCTGTTGTGAATTTTCTTTATCTTAACGGACGTAGGCTGCCCGAAATCAGGCTTATCTTAAATAAACAAGCGTAGTAAAACAAACAAATTCAGAACAAACGTAGTACACCCTCTATTTGTAAAGCCGATTGTGTAAATGTGTTGTAATAAAAATATACAAATGTAAATAAAGAAAACACCTTTTCTATTCCTAGTACTACAGGTATTCATTCAAATAAATTTCAATGATACCTAATTAGGGAGTACCCCAAATAGACACTACAGACTAATGCATATCCGTAAATATACGGATTAGCATTAGTTCGTTTGTGCTAAAGTAATGCTAACTATGTAGAAATAATGAAAATTTGCATTTCTTCAAAATGACGTCTGTTTTCTTTCAATAAAGCTAACTACATAGATATAAAGTACACTTCAGTATATACTACATTGACTTTTGTAACTAACCAAATACATAAACGTTTACTTAACTTACTTCAATCTATCGGAGGTGTTGCTTATAATTCAAAACTCGATTCACTCAATTATAAGAGACCATAACTGTTTCAAATTTATAATAGAGTGTTATTTGTAGCTCAGCTACCTATTGGAAAAGTTTCTGTATGGCAGTCTCTGGACCGGCAATGTAAGTAGGATCGCCTTCTTTCTTGTGTTAAACCAGATGTAAGTCTATTATGGTATAAGTCCAAGATGGGCTGCAGACTGACCGCAGTGAAAAAGAAAAAGTCAAAGAAACCGTGGTGGCTTGCAGTTTGCGGTCTGCACTTCTGCAGTCCGTCTTGGACTTGTACCTTTACGGTAAAGCTAATAAAGGTTGAAGGCACCATGAAGATAGCACTTACTCGGGTTATCCTCAGTACTCCTCAACACCTGCGCCGGGTCTATAGGCAGGGCATACCAGGGCCGGCGCGAGTATATCTTCTTCGTGTTCACCGGACGCGCGCCATCGTCAACGTTTCGATAACTCGACGGTGACAGGTTTAACATCTCTAACCATTTGTCGATACCTGCGAAAGAGAGAGATAGATAACAACCAGCAGTGATTGATACGTCACGTTTACATTGCGGCCATTGCTTCTGGACAATAATAAGGGCCAAGGTCTTTCTGGTCCGCTTTCACATTAGGGCGGTCAGAAGTTTATAATGTGAAGGCAGGCATCCGCTGTCATATAGTATGATATTAGCGCTGCTAATGTTGCCTAAATGTGAAAACGCTCTAACACCCTCTATTCGCAATCCTAGGATAGCGAACTACGATATCATTAGGCGCATCTGGCCACATAGGAAGTGTAAACCAAATCCTCCATTTGCCTCTTGTAAACTAAACAAGATCGTGCATTTACAGTGGAGACCAAATGACCTTAAGATCATAATAAAAGGGGCTCGATCACGTCCTTTATAAATGGTGTCCATTATTCTATTTCTATTTAAATGAGTGATACTATCCTTATTTCCATATCCTAGTTTGGTTCTGTCGGCATGTGATGAATGACGTTTGGTAAATGTGTGAAGGTTGCCTCAATTTCCTAACCTTATTTACCTGACCTAGATCCTGCTGGATCACAGTTCGTGCCCGGATCGCTCTGTGTATTTCTGCACGTAAAGTTGTTCATGCATTACACTCATGTTTATGTACAGGTTTCTTGGACTTGAATAGTACTAGGTAGCTTGTTATCCTCATTAAATCAATGGTTTTTAAGACTCTCTTATCACAAGCAAAATCGTTGCGTAAAATGCTCTGACATTTCTCCGCTTCAGATTTATAAAATAGCTGTAGACACTCTAAACGTTTTGTAAAATGTTCGCCAGTAAAAATAAGGATTTTTCAATACGCCATTCATTCAAAGATGAAAAGAGTGGAAATAACGAGAATTTTACTGGGAATCTCGTCATTTGGGCACGCTATTGTATTATGAAGTTTATTCTAATAAACATTTTCGCTCTACCTTTGAAAGAGGGAAAAAACAATAAGTTTGTCAGCCTAAAACATTTCTCTGACGTCAAACAGACTTTAGATAAAATAAAAAGGTACCTTTTCAGGGTTCCGTACCCAGTCGGGACCCGATATCGAATCTTATTATCACCAAATTATGACAATTTCAGAAGAACGTTTTCAAATGAAAGCACGGTAAAAGGTAACATCAATTTTAAATTCGTGGCAAATCTCCAGGATGTGTTTTTGAACTAAACCAACTTTAAACTCCTCAAATATTTAAAAAATACAAATAACAGTGTTGCAATTCACCAAACTAATTTGGTTTTTGCCTTTTGCATTACTATAGAATTCACAGTGGGATAAAAGCGACAGCTTGTGATGTCGGGTGATATCCCCCGACAGTATACGTGTCGCAACATGGCCGCGGAAAATATATTCCCTCTGTGACAACTGAGCTATGTTTACATTAACCAGCTTGTTTGGATATAGTCTAGCTCAAAAGTTCGATAGTCTAGTGGCACTGACACTGCCTTTGTGAATATTCTGATTGATATAAATACACTCGGCATCAAATAAATCGCACCTCCCGCAACAAGCACTTTTCAAACGTATACATCCCCACATTCCCCACTCTTCCCACCAATATTATTGTCACCATTTAAAAGCCTAGTTCTAAACTTCATTTAATTAAAGGAAAGGTTTTTACCCCAAAAATGTGTCTCTATAAGAATCCAGAGTCACTTCTTCAAAAAATAGGTAGTTACGCTTGAGCCAACTTTTATAGCTATAAAACTGTTAAATTGGGATTAGTCGCAATCCATCTGTTAAAGAGGACACGTGAGATCATTATTTGGTTTTATAACCACAAAAATTGGTCTACTTGGTCCCAGAGGTGGGCCCAAGTGAGGCCTTTTTTCAAGTCACATTTATGGTACCTGTTAATTGTTTATAAAAAAAATTATTGTATTTTTCTTTAAGTTTATTTATTGGGCTTCCAAATAACACCTATATTGTTGAGGCACCATGATTGCATCAGAAGAAAATGTTTAATAAAGTTCGCATCGCGGAAGGTGCGATTTATTTGATGTTGAGTATAGTTCAAAACGAACAAATAAGGCTGAGTAGCACCACCTAACTTTAACGCTAACTATGACGATAACCGGTGCATTATGTATAGAGTTTGACAGATTTTTGACGTCTGTCAAAGCTAAAGTAAGATGGTGCAACCCAGCCTAAAGGTTCTCTGTCAAGTTCCATAAATACTCGTTAATAAATATCGCAATTCCTAAATAAAAAGATACATGAAAGAAACGAAAAACTTGAAACAGTTTAATTGACCCATGGGTAGGATAGGTTTTTTCATTTAGAAAACAGATTATTTTAACTGTAAAACATCATCATTCTGCATTAAATTATGAATTTTCTGAGACGACATTCCAATAGTTTGACTGAATTCTGAATTCATGCAATTTATCAACCTAGATAGGTTGAAAACAGATGTTACTACAGCACCAATTTTTGTCTGCTTCTTAACCGCAAGTAAGTGACATAATATATTTATTAAGTTAAATAAAACAAGTTTTTACTCTTTTACCAGAAGCATGAACGTTTGCAGTCTTGTTCTACTCGTACTTGCGACTTAGTTGTTAAGGAAGACCTCGAACGTATCTTTTAGTCTTTTACTAGCTTTGAAGTGTTTGCAATGTTTAGTCAGGTGGCCTGCTATTTGTATTGGCGAGAGACAATAAGTTCGTATTTGTCGGAACCATTTGTATTGCCTTATTTACCAAGCACTCAGACAAAATATTAAGTAAGTACTTAGAGTCTATTAACGTGGAAGGTACGAGAATTGCAAAGTTGAACTGTTTAAATTTATTTTCTGAGGAATAGACTAACTTAAGGAATAAATTATGCGGACTAGTACACCGCGCAAAGCGATTTGTCAAGTCAGTGTTAGGCAAATAGCAAAAAATGTCGCCGAAAGTCCTAGATTAATTACCTTAGCAAATAAAAACTCAGTCATTTGTCTCTATAAGCCCTCAATCCTATGTAATTTTTCTTTGTTAGTCTTTTTAACATAATAGTTAGATGGTAGAACTATACGGGTACTATATCTTTTGCCTTCTACTTCGCTCGTCTCAATATCTGTCACAGAAACAAATGTTTTTCTTTTTGACCTTTTAAACCGATTTATTAATGAAATCTGAGTGAAAATCCATCCGGTAAGACTCTGCGTGGAACCCATGTAGCTACTGCATGGCCACCACAATATAGCCACCAGAAATATGCGTGTGCGCATATTTTTACGCGCTTAATCCTGAAAGTGCTTCATGAGCTCTATCGAACGACACCAATAAATAGGTTACAGAATAGACTGGATCTATCCGAAAATTCAATGTTTCCAGCTGATACTGTTTGATAGAACTCGTGAAATACTTTCAGGATCCATTTTTCGATATCTTGTATAGTTCGAAATAATCTAGTGAGATCACTTATCGTTTCCATCCTGTATGTACGAGTAGGTAGTTATTGCAACTTTCCATGTTCATTGTTCATAACTTCTCTTTTTCAGAAAGGGCTCTGTAGTAATTCGTATTCAAAGTTTGTATATCTCGTCAGAACGGCCCACACGAGACGAGAAATTCATTTCAGGAACAATTATAGACTTAGGTGGATTATTCTGGCAGAAACTAGTTGAAACTGGATATCGCTCGTGTCACGTTTCATAAACTTATTTTTTCAGGATTCTATTCCAATTATATCTGTTCTAACAAGGAGTATGTTGACCTTTCAAGGCTCTTCCTACAATGCTTCAGAAATAACAATTGGTAATTGAAATGTCAGACTTTTGTAGAGGCTCATAATGTCGGGGGCTTGGACTTAGTCCCAGTTATTACAACTCACATAGAAGATAAGTTTATTTCTAGCCTACTTTGAAACATTAATATTGTTGTACTAATTGAAAAAAGTAAGAACCCTAAAGTTATAAATTAATATACTCTTCCCAAGAAACTAATAAAGTCTTGCAAAGTTGACAAATAAGAATTGCAAAAGTTGGAAACAATGTAGAAGGCTTTATAGCAAATTTTTTATACACGTTTAATAACACTTTCAAATAATCATAGTTTTGAACAAATACGTAACCTTCTCATAAAATAGTACCTATAATCCTTTTTCAAGTGTTAGTAGTTAAAGTAAAGGGACGAAACAACAAAGCTCTAAAAGGTCTGTGGTTTTATCGGTCTGAGTGGTGGTCGCTATGTTATCGAAGGTAAAGTTTCATTTTATATTTATAACTTTTGTGGCTTTACCCTTAATGGTTGAATATGAAATTGTATTAATAAATGGTTTTAGCAATAAATAAAGTTTGCATAAGGTCAAGTTGCTTTTAGTGTTTTAATTACGTCATCATTTAAAAGTTGGTTAAATAACAGTCGTTTTGACAAAATTATCAACCCATTAAGAAGTTTATAATATGTTATCTACAATTGCATTAGTCATCAAATATTGTGCCATAAACTGCACATAGATTAAGATTATTAATAAATAACTAGCAGCCGCCCGCGACTTCGTGCATATGGATCCCGTTTTACCCCCTTAGGGATTGAGTTCCGTAAAATCCCGTGAGCACCTACGTTCTAAAAGGAACCCCTATGCAAAATTGAGACTACTAGCACTTGTAGTTTCTAAAATTTCTTGATGAGTGAGTGAGTCAGTCAGTGACCTTTCGCTTTAGATTTTCTTTAATGCCTACAGGGCAAAATTATTAGTCTAGTTCTTAGATAGTCCCTTTCTTAAACTTACATTAGATGTGGTATGTCCTCACATAGTATAATAGTAGGTACATTAGGGCTTTACCGAGTTCTATTAATGGAATATTCAAACAAACCGCCTAAACTCTGTTTCGGACACGTAAAGGGTTGAGCTCACTCAAACCGAGCTTCGCTACTGTTGGCATCCACTTAGAAACTTATGGAGTTTGCTCGATAAGTATTATGGTAAGGGACTTTGAAAGTAGCTTTAGTTCCTTAATTATGTGTGAACAGTAACACTATCTAATACTAATATTAT